CTGTTAAAAAAATATTGGTTGGACAGTTATTTCCACTACCCTTGCTATTCTATTTTGTTTTGTTTTTTGAGAGATAGGGGTTTCACTCCATCACTCAGCCGTGGTGCGGTCACGGCTCACTGTTGCTTCAAGCTTTTGGGCTCAAGTGATCCTCCCGCCTCAGCCTCCTGAGTAGCTGGGACTGCAGGTATGTGCCCCCATACCTGGCTAAGTTTTATAAATTTATTTGTAGAGACAGTGTCTCGCTATGTTGCCCAGGCTAGTCTTGAACTCTTGGCTCAAGCCTCATGCCTTGGCCTCCGAAAGTGCCGGGATTACAGGCGTGAGCTGCTGTACCCAGCCTACCCTTGCTATTCTTAAAAAGTGTTTGTTGTTGTTGTTGTTACTAAGCTATTCTCTACCTTCGGAATTTTAAAAACTGAAATATAATTTGTACACCATAAAATTTACCCTTAGAAAGTACACAACTCAGTGGTTTTTAGTATAGCCATAAATGTGTGCAACCACCACAATCTGATTTCAGAGCATTTTCATCAGCTCTAGGGGAAACCCTGTGCCCATCAGCCATCAGCCCCACATCCCTCACCCTCCCCAGCCCCTGGCGACCACCAAGCCGCTTTCTGCCTCTGTGTGTTCTCGCTGTCTCGTATGAATGAGATCGTGTGGCATGTGGCCTTTGTCTCTGGCTTCTTTCACTTGGCACGATGTTTCCAAGGCTCATCCATTCTCAGTACTTCATCCCTTTTCATGGCTGCATAATGCTCCATTGTGTGATTATGCCTTATTTTTTTATCCATTCATCAGTAGACAGATATATGAGCTGTTGCCGCTTTTTGGCTATAATGCTCCTGTGAACGTTTGTGTCCTTATGAATGTGTTAAAATCATCTTGTTGGCCAAGGATGGTGGCTCATGCCTGTAATTCAAGCACTTTGGGAGGCCAAGGCAGGTGAATTGTTTGAGGCCAAGGGGTTTGAGACCAGCCTGGCCAACATGGTAAAACCCCGTCTCTACTAATATTACAAAACTTAGCCAGGCGTGATGGTGCACCTCTGTAATCCCAGCTGCTCAGGAGGCTAAGACACAAGAATTGCTTGAACCCAACAGGCGGAGGTTGCAGTGAGCTAGGATCACACCACTGTACTCCAGCCTGGGTGGCAGAGCAAGACTGTCGAAAGAAAGAAAGGAAAGAAAAGAAAGAAAAGAAAGAAAGGAAAGAAAGGAAAGAAAGGAAAGGAAGGAAGGAAGGAAGGAAGGAAGGAAGGAAGGAAGGAAGGAAGGAAGAAAGAAAGGAAAGAAAGAAAGAAAGAAAGAAAGAAGGAAAGAAAGAAGGAAAGAAAGAAAGAAAGAAAGAAAGAAAGAAAGAAAGAAA